ATAATATCTGGGACGAATCTCATCTGTCAGATAGACGCTGCAGCCATCTCAGTTGGTGGGTCAAAAGTATATGTTCAAAAGAAGGAGAAACAGCATCTTCAAACTCCATGGTTAGCAGTATTACACCCTACCCAAAACTATAAAAAATCATTCAAAATCCATAGTTTTCAGTAAAATCCTGAAAAAAATCACACATGTCAAGGAATGCATCCTGCATATTCTAGATTTTTTTTAGATTATTTAATAATTAATTGAAAGAAAAAATAAATCTTTAAACTTAAGTTGCATATACTAAGGCAGTTGAATACACTATAAGATGCTCAAACATGCATAGATTTACGCCAAACTTGGCAAACTTAACTATAATTAAAGTCTAAATAAATGTTCCAACTTTGGCTAGGATTGCTTCAAAACTTTTTGAAAAACAACAATTTCCTGTTAACACAAACTTTTGAAAAATCAGAGTGAGGGACTTTTAAGAAGAGCTATGCTGTGTTTACCATCAAACAAGAATTAATTAAAGGAATATATTCCAAAAGTCCTAGCTTTTTTGAGAAATCGACTGATTTTTTAGAAATATTTTAACAAAGTGATTCTATTTTCATAAGGGTACCGTTTGATTCAAAATGGCCGACTTCATGAGAGGGTTAGACCATGGCTCCAATGAAACTTTTTGTAGGTGGGGGGCTCATACAGATGTGTGCCAAATTTCATTATCCTAGGAATGAGCATGGCTAGGGGCTGAATTATTTCCTGGCATTATCTGCCCATTTGGCCAACTACTAGGCGAGAACGCAAACTTTTGAAAAATCAGAGTGACGGACTTTAAAGAAGCACTTTGCTATTGTAACCAGCTTACAGTAGGCTGCTCGGGCCTAATAATAAACGGTACAGGAACAATAGGCCTTTGCAGCGCTGAAGCTGCTCGGGCCTAATAAACACTACAGATACAATAGGCTCTCGGGCCTAAAAAAATAATAATATAAAGTTGTTCAACTTTACCATATAAAAGAAGATGCCTTTTCAGACAAGTAATGTAGTCTCGTCAGTCACCCCACTTCATCCTTCAGTCACTTTAAGTCACGTTCCCCTCTAGTCAGAAACTTTTCTCATCTAATTTTCTCATATTTGTTTTTATCATCAACCTTACTTTTCTCTATTTAATTTTGTATGTTTTTTTTATTTAATTTTAGGTTAATTCCTCCATTTTACAAGTTTTTTCAGTTTTAAATTTTTAATTTGACCTTATTTTATGCCCTACTATTTTTTTTCTGTAATAATTTAATAGTTTTTTATTTTTAGCTATGAGTTATTAACTTCCTATAAAAATTTAGAGTTTTGTTTCTTTAAAAGCACCATTGAAATTAAAATTCATTATTATCACTTAGTATAGTGTAATTTTAATATGTAATACAGTGTAAATATGTTTAGTATAAGGTTTAAACACTGCCTTTATGACCTCTTATTTTAACCCATTTCTTTTGAAGCTGAGAGTTTCTTTGAACTCTCCTTTTAACCATCCATCATTTAAAACTGTTTTTTTTTTCTTTTTTTTCTCTTTTTTTTCAAATTCTGTAAATTTCTTACCTTACCTTCTTTTTAGCCTCTAACTTCTCGTGATATTACAGCTTTCATTGATTTATTTCAAATTTGAAACATTGTGTAGCCTGTAAGGCGCGAAAAAAAAGAAAAAGAAAGAAGAAATGAACCAATTAATCGAATTGAATCGTATCGTGGTGTATTCTTGAGTATCGAAAATAATCGAATCGTTGGGTCAGGAAATCGATACTGAATCAAATCACCAAGATTGATGTGATTTACACCCCTAGTAACCATGAAGACGATCTATTGTTTCTACCTCTGACTTTTCAATAAAAAGATTTGAAAAAAACAAGTATGTTTAAAAGAGAATTAAACTTAAAACCTACTTAATGGATTTAAATGTAGGATGATAAAAAACAAAAAAACATCCTAACTTTCAGAATTAGGACTGAAATAGCCCCTGACATAAAGTTATAAATTGTTGATAATAGGGGTGCAAATCACATCCATCAATGCGATTCGATTCAGTATCGATTTCATGACCCAACGATTCGATTATTTTCGATACTCAAGAATACACCACATTACGATCAATTGGTTTATTTTTTTTAACCTTACAAGCTAGACAATGTTTCAAATTTGAAATAAATCAATGAAAGCTGTAATATCGTCATGTATTTTTTTGAGAAACAACAGCAAATAACAGAAGTAGAAAAGTTGCACTCCACCTATTCCTATTAAAACCTCATTCACTGAAAAATAATAATGCCCCTGCGTTATAGATTCTGCAAGGCCTTGCTTAAAAAATACTTCACAAAATCAGTGCAATGAGTGCAATGCAATACCTCGGCTCCAGACGTCCTCTTGGCCACCAAAGTATGCCTTTGTGTTTGCTCAGCTTTTTACCTCAAACCACAGAATCTTTCAATCTAATGCAATGTTGGAGGAAGTTCTTGGAGGCCACTAAAGTATGAGAGAAAGGGTTCCCAAACAGATTGAAATTTGTCTGAGCGCCTTATAGCAAAGTTGGCACATTTATTCATATCTTTGCAAAGAGAGAACAGTTCATCATACAGCCCTTATGGCAGCATTCTGCTCTGTTCTGATCTGGACAGCGTTCGTTCCCCCTTACTTACAACAATGGAAAAGTTGTCAGAGTCAAAACAAATTACAAACACTTTAGTTAAACAGTAAAATTTTATGAATAAACCTTGAGAAAGAATCTGGTTTGGTATGGGAAGAAACTATGTCTGGTCTACAAACACCATCCTGCAGAGAATTGTCTGGCCTTGAAGTTGAATCAGGCTGAGTGAAAACTTTTATAGTGAGTAAATAGGATAAAATAATATATAATAGAAGAGAAATCTACATTTTCTGACAACAGTTACTCTCAGGTTGCAGTTTGGCAAGCGACAGCTCAACACAAAATGGAAAAGGTTATAACTACAAGTGAGAAGTTTGTTCTCAAAAAAAGGAATAAAATTATCCGTTGTTAGGAACTGCAGGGCTTAAAGTTCTCCGGCATAGTGGCAGATTTCCAGCTTGCGTCAACTGTGGTTGTATTAGAAGAAGTGGGATTGTGTATTGAAATGCATATTTTAAAACCATCAGAAAAGGTTTCTGCTCCACATAGTTAACAAGCTAGCTGTTAACTGATGCAGGGCTGCCGATAGCACGGCACGGTAGTGATCTGAAAAGGGGTCCCTATGTCCTCCAGCAGTCTAAGCCTATAGAAGCATAACTATAGAGATGGCTCTGGATAACCTGAGCCACTCTAACTATAAGCTTTATCAAAAAGGAAAGTTTTAAGCATTGCCTTAAGAGCAGACATGGTGTCTCATAAGATCTAGTTTGACCATTGAATGCTTTATATGTGAGGAGAATTCAATTCACAATTCACTGAAATCCTTTCACAGCTCTAAAGTAACGGTTCAGAGGTTAATCTCTAACTATATTGAGAAAAAAAATCTCTTAAACTATATTCTACTAAATTCCTATGAACATATTGCAGTTCAAAAGGGGATGTGATTAATTGACTCAAAATCGTTGTTGGAGGATAGCATTCCACAAGGGTAAAAGGGTGACACCTTTCATTTTTGCATATTAAAGGGAAACTTCGTTTTTTTTTACATTGGGCCCTTGATTTTACGTTATCACATCATGTTCTAGGCGAATCACTTTCTCTCAGACAACCGCGGTTATATTTTTTATATTCATATTTTTTAAAAACAGCGTGTATGACGTCACCGGCTACCGTTCGTTCATCCTGTCCTCTTAACTGCTGCTAGTTTTACTCACATGCCTGGAAGATGTCTAGTGCTACTACCACAGATGATGTTGCTCTCGAAATGGAATTGAATGATTCAGATTAGCTCGCCGAATGAATAGAAGGGGTAGAGCGTAGCCTGGGGGCCCGGGCTTCCTGTTACGACTCCAGTCCGGCGCGCAGACGATGTCATACACACACTGCTTTGTTTTATAAATATAAAAAATAAAACCGTGGATGTCTGGGAGACAGTGATTCGCCTACATGTTATGAATGCTGGCGTACCATAAATAATAAATTATGAACAGTTTAGTTTGTGCTTCAAGTCATTGCCCATAGGAAGACGTTACCTGGATATAACCTAAAGGAATATCTTCAGAACGGTTCAGAACTACTACAACACTCAGGCTACGTTCACACTGGAGCCTGAAGTGACCCAATTCCGATTTTTTTTGCCCATATGTGACCTGTATCTGATCTTTTTATGACAGTCTGAACGACACAGATCGGATTTTTTCAAATGCGACCCAGGCCACTTGGATATGTGGTCCTGAATCCGATACGTATCTGATCTTTTCAAATGCGACCTGTGTCTGTACAGCCAGATCGCATTCATCCGACCTACACGTCATTGATACTTGAAAAATGTTACTAAACATTACTAATCTGCGTCCTACTAAGCGGAGGTGGGAAAAACTAACAACCATGGCAGAAGATAACACAGGGAGCAGTCAATGGAGAGAAAGTGAGGTTGCTGACTTAATTTATATTTGGAAAGATAGCTCGATTCAGACCAAACTCGAAGGGTCTAACCGGAACCGGGTCTTTCTTTTTGATCTTCTTAAAAAGATTTCGTTCGTTATGTGCCTGCTCCTGTTGGAGAATAACTTAAAGAACGCAATATACGCTGCGGTATTACGAGTCATGTTTACTTCCGCAAACACTGAGGACGCTTGCTACATATGACATCATCGCGTCCTCGAGTGCGCATGCGGGACACTTCGGTTGAACACTTTCAGTTCACACAGTAGATCTCATACAAGTCGCATATACTTGGAAGTGTGAACGGACACGCAAAAAAATCCGATTTCACAAAAAAATCGGAATTGAGCATTAAGGCCTGCAGTGTGAACGTAGCCTCAGACACCTGAACCTGGATTAGATTATTCCAAGCTAACAGTGGAGAAATTTCATTAGAATATTTTTGGAAATCTGCTCAACCTCTGACACATTGAGCTGGGGTCTGTCTCTTCCAGGCAGAGGTGTACAGAAAACGCTGCTGAGTTTAGGGTGTCTCATTGATTCCTCATTTTCCAGACAGTCACTGTGGTGTTGGATGTAAATGCTTTACTTTCCTTAATAATTGTTTGTGGGGAAATACATTTAGGCCAAAATGAATGAAGATTCAGGTTGCTTGATAGGATCCACTGGCTCCTCAACCTCAAGGAGAGAGTTTGGTGCTTTTATGTGAGGTGTCCTTTATTAAACCACCAATAGAACGCCTTTTTGCTGTGTTTGTGTTTCCAGACCGCCTGCAGGATTATGTTGGAAAAGAGGAGGATTTCTCTGACCATCAGCTCTGTGGACAGGGGAGGAAATCCAGTTTGGACCAAGAGGAATCTGAACATCCGCAGATAAAAGAAGAGCATCAAAAGCCAGAACATCCCTGTATAAAAGAGGAAACCATGGAGCTCCCCATAAGTGAGCAAAAAGAACAGCTTGTTCTTAAGCAGACGATTAAAGATACAAGAGAGAATCCTTTCCCATGTTTGACATGTGGAGAAAACTTTCTTAAAAAAAAGCATTTAATGGTTCACATGAGAACTCACAAAGGTGAGAAGTTTTATTGTCTGTCCTGTGGAAAATTTTTCTCAAAGAAATCTAGACTTGATAAACATATGATAATTCACACAGGTGAGAAGCCTTTTTCCTGTACCATTTGTAACAAGAATTTTACTGGAAAGAGTAATTTGACTTCTCACATGAGAATTCACACAGGTGAAAAGCCTTTTGAATGTCTGTCCTGTGGAAAAAGCTTCACTCAGAAATCTAGTCTTGATAAACACATCAGATCTCACACAGGTGAGAAGCCTTTTGAATGTCTGTCCTGTGGAAAAAGTTTTACTCAGAAATCACATCTTGATACACACATCAGATCTCACACAGGTGAGAAGCCTTTTGAATGTCTGTCCTGTGGAAAAAGCTTCACCTCTAAGTCTAATCTTAATAAACACATCAGATTTCACACAGGTGAGAAGCCTTTTGAATGTCTGTCCTGTGGAAAAAGTTTTACTCTGAAATCACATCTTGATACACACATCAGATCTCACACAGGTGAGAAGCCTTTTGAATGTCTGTCCTGTGGAAAAAGCTTCACCTCTAAATCTAATCTTGATAAACACATCAGATTTCACACAGGTGAGAAGCCTTTTGAATGTCTGTCCTGTGGAAAAAGCTTCACCTCTAAATCTAATCTTGATAAACACATCAGAATTCACACAGGTGAGAAGCCTTTTGAATGTCTGTCCTGTGGAAAAAGCTTCACTCAGAAATCTAGTCTTGATACACACATGAGATTTCACACAGGTGAGAAGCCTTTTGAATGTCTGTCCTGTGGAAAAAGCTTCACTCATAAATCTAGTCTTGATACACACATGAGATTTCACACAGGTGAGAAGCCTTTTGAATGTCTGTCCTGTGGAAAAAGTTTCACTCATAAATCTAATCTTGATACACACATGAGATTTCACACAGGTGAGAAGCCTTTTGAATGTCTGTCCTGTGGAAAAAGCTTCACTCATAAATCTAATCTTGATACACACATGAGATTTCACACAGGTGAGAAGCCTTTTGAATGTCTGTCCTGTGGAAAAAGTTTCACTCAGAAATCTAATCTTGATAGACACATCAGATCTCACACAGGTGAGAAGCCTTTTGAATGTCTGTCCTGTGGAAAAAGCTTCACTCAGAAATCTAGTCTTGATACACACATGAGATTTCACACAGGTGAGAAGCCTTTTGAATGTCTGTCCTGTGGAAAAAGTTTCACTCATAAATCTAATCTTGATAGACACATGAGATTTCACACAGGTGAGAAGCCTTTTGAATGTCTGTCCTGTGGAAAAAGTTTCACTCAGAAATCTAATCTTGATACACACATGAGATTTCACACAGGTGAGAAGCCTTTTGAATGTCTGTCCTGTGGAAAAAGCTTCACTCAGAAATCTAGTCTTGATACACACATGAGATTTCACACAGGTGAGAAGCCTTTTGAATGTCTGTCCTGTGGAAAAAGCTTCACTCAGAAATCTAATCTTGATACACACATGAGATTTCACACAGGTGAGAAGCCTTTTGAATGTCTGTCCTGTGGAAAAAGCTTCACTCAGAAATCTAGTCTTGATACACACATGAGAATTCACACAGGTGAGAAGCCTTTTGAATGTCTGTCCTGTGGAAAAAGCTTCACTAAGAAATCACAGCTTGATACACACATCAGATCTCACACTGGTGAGAAGCCTTTTTCCTGTACCATTTGTAACAATAAATTTACTCAAAAGGGTAGTTTGACTTCTCACATGAGAATTCACACAGGTGTGAAGCCTTTTGAATAAGTCACTGCAGTCAGATGCCACAGGAATGAACAGTAGAGGTGTTTACCATGTTTGACTGGTGATAAAATGTCCATCTAGAAACTCCTTCACCTCATTACATGAGAAACTCACGGGTTAATGTCTTTTTTTGAGGCAAGTTTTGAGATTAATTAACAACTCTGTTTACATAGAAACTAGAACTGATAAGGTGTTATATAGTAAATCTGGTAAATACTCAGGTCCTGGGTGAATATTTGGAAGTGAACATTTGAAAGTTAATTATATTGGACCTGAGTAAATTAGAATTAAATGGCCAGAAAATGTTTAAATTTATGATTTCTTATTTTTTCTGTAATGAGGGGAATAAACATGATAAAGTGCAACAACAACATATTAGTTACAGATGAAGCAAGTTTGCTGTCCATATAACAAGCAATTGATAAGTTTAAATTGTAAATATAAAATCAAGGCAGACCCATACTGTGCAATGTTGGCATGGTGTTGCACATCTTTTTCTGAATGAATTTATTAAGAAAAAAAACCCCTCCAGTTTTAGTTTTTGCTTCAAATTTTAGTTGAATGATAAGCTATCGGTTGGATATATTCCAGAAACAGACTTTTATTCAGATGAAAATATCCTCAGATGAAAATAAAAGCAAAGCTAAGACAGATTTAATGTGCTTTGCTCAGTTTTGCTTTTGTTTTTGGAGGATTTTCTAAGAGATCAGCTGCAAATGATCAGAGTTTAGCTAATTCAGTGTCTTGTTGGCTTTCATTAGCAATGCATCAATCAGCCCTGCTACGTGTGTTGTTGAAACCAGGCCCACCAAAACTCCAACTGTTTTAGCCACAGTGTTAGAGCTATGGTCAATAGATATTAGAATGAAGTAGATCATCTATAGAGGAGTCTCAGATGAAGATTTGGGACATATAGAAGTGTGTGTCAGTCTCAGAGTTAGTCAGCTACAAGCTAATTAATGTTGCAAAGTAGCTCCAGCCACCTTGAAAGGGGGTGCTGGGATTATGGGGTTAAACTACGGGACATCAAAGAACTCAGTTTAGAGGCTGGAGTCTGTAGTTCAGGTAAATTGAAGTCCTAAAATGATGAAACATGTTTGTTTAAAAAGATAAACTAGATTGATGATGTTGCTGTTATTTTTACTGATCAGTTTGAACCTGCTTTAACTCGGTAAAAAGCCTTTGTCTTAATAATGTATTAAAGAAATCTGACTCTCCTCTAGAAGTGTGAAGTTTCTGCTTTTTAAAGATTTTTTGAAAGTATAATTTTCCTTTGAACTAATTCTAATAGTTTTGTTCTTGATTCTGTAGATGTTCTATTTACCTGCTATGATTGAAAGTAACTATCACCTATTTTATACAACTGATTTTATGGATTATATTCTGCTGTGGATGTTTTTAATTATTGTAATCACTTCTAAATTGATGAACGAGCAGCAATAAAAACCTCATGGATTGTAAAAATGTGTTTCTTTATCTGGTTTCATATAAATTAGAAACAATCTTTTTCCATGTTTTCTCTGATATTTTCAGCCAAACTAAAGCTGTAAAATAAATAGTTTAATGGCATTCACCTTCTGTCTTCTCCAGTCTTTCCTGTTGCTCCTCCGTCAGCATTAATCTGTTTGCTTTTTAGAGCCTGAGTTCAAATCTGGCCATTGGATAAATCCTCCTTTGCTTGTTGGAGAACTTAGATCAGGAAATAATGTAGGTACGTATTCTGGCCCAGTTGGTTTGGCACCTGATAAAACAAGTGTTTCAGTTGCTATAACTGTGTGTGTCCAGAGCCGCTACAACCAAGCAACTAGAGGAATGAAGGATCTAAATATGACTATGTTGTGCTGATGAAGGTTCTCAGTCATCCAGGTCAAAGTCATCGGTTACCATTGCATGTTTCCAAGCGATACAAGGCGTTGTCTATATAAGACTCAAACTCTCTGCGGATCCAGACATTTGAATTGAGAAAGCTTCCTGGAGAGGTGGCGAAACGTCTTCAAATCTTGAAAACCAAGTCCAGTGGATATTTTTTGAATTTTTACGGTATGGCTATGTTCACAATGCAGCCTGAAGGGGCCCTAATCTGATTTAATTTTGTTTTATTTGTTTTTTTATTGCCAATATGTAATCTGTTGATGTTTTCATGACAGTCTGAACATTAAAAATCTTATTTTTGCAACAATAGTTCTGGACCATTTATAGAAAAAGTGACAATTTGGAGGTTTTTGATGAACAACTTGTACAACACAATTTGTGTAGTTGTACACAAAATTGAAAAATAACTACCTGTTTTTTTCTATTATTCTACAATTACAAACTTATAATGTAACTCTCTCTGCAACTTCAAACTCACCTTCATAACAAGAATCCTCACGCTGCAGCTTTTTCCTGACAGCGTGAGCAGGTTAATATCTGTCTGCATATAGCGCCGTAATTATTACCAATCACATGTGGTCCCTAGGAGGTAAAACTAAACTGCAAGTCTTAAGAAACCTCACCATTAAGCCTCAATTTTTCTTTCTGCTGTTTTTCAATATGAAAGCAATCTGAAGAGTTCTCACCCCCGGCTCACACCGAATCCGGTCTTACTGTTGCTGTGAGGTGGGTGCGGCGCCGCAGTGATTCCAAGTCATTAAAAAGACGTAAACCTCTCTCACCAGCTGCTGAGCTGTCCGGCTGCGGTTACCGAGACACTGCGGCGCTGCAGAAAATTCAGCAAGAAAGCTATCCTTGCAGCATGCCGGAGCCCTCCGCAACAAGCTCTCGCAAATATCCTTATTTGGGCCGTGTTATCGCGTGAAGTTACGCAAACTAAAGTGAACTTCTGTCCTCGCGAGTTAAATCTCTGGACCTGTTGCCGGAGTCGCAGAGCCGCGCCGCGCCGCACCGTATAGTCAAAAGGGCGGTGTGAGAGGGGATGTGCGGGAGTTGTGGTCTCCGTCGGCTTGGTAACCGCACCGGAGCCAGTGTGAGCAAGGGGTCAGCCTCTTGGATCCAACAAGCCCTGTAGCATATGAAGGTCCCCTGAACTTTGTCTAGAAAGAAGTTATCTAATTGAGATTTTAATTCCTCAGGTTGAAGCTGCTCCTCAGATGAGAGAGTTGATTTCCTACATAATTGTTGATATAAATCAGTTGTGGTTGTTTTTTTGCCTCAATTTTATAAACCAGTTTACTAATTCTGACTGCAACTTTCTTAGCACTAAATTTGAGCTATTCCTATTACCTCAAAGGTGAAAGTTCCATCCATGAAATATTCTTAATGAGGTTACTAATTTCTGTGCAGAAATCCCTATTATGCCAGAGGTTAGTTCAATTACCAAATAAAGGATGGTGGTGATTTACATTTAGTCAAAAAGAGAACAAAAATAATAGTAATGATCAGTTAAAGGGGATGGTGATATTTTACCACATAATCTTATAAATCATGTAAGGAATCAACCAATAGTCTACTTGAGGAATTTAATCAGGTGTTTTGTCTCAGATGCCTTGATCTCCAACAATCAGATTAAAACTGGAGAATAAAAATATCCTCAATGAGAGGATGCTGCCGTTCAGTGTGAAAACGATCATTGAATCCATCTGGAGCTACAATAATCTCCCCTCCAATGATAACCTGTTCAGTGAAGTATTTAAGCTTCCACTGCTCTATTTCCTTTAGGTTGAATTTGTTGTTTGTTAAACACAGTCCTTAGAAATATAAATTGGCTACAATATAATGATTATTTTTGAAGTCTTACTCTTTTTTTATAAAATCCTTGTACATTTAAAATACAAATACAACAAAAAACGAACATAATTACTTATAAAAAAAATCCCTGCTATATAGATCCTTTCTATAACCATTATGCTTTATTAAGACTTAGACAAACATCAATGCCATTTTCTATGCACAGATTTTATACAAAATTTAATTTGGTAAGTCCAGGCTCTGTATCACAGGTGGTTTGTGCGGTAAATGTGCTTGAACTCAAGCAAAGTTAATTCTTTACACCGCTCATTCTGGGCTATCATGGAAAGGTTTCATGAGTGTTAAGATCTATGAGAAAAACAGAACACATAACTGTTATGTTGTTCCTGCTTTTTACTTACCGTACTGTGATTGGGGTAAAAAAGTTAAAAAAGGGAGCAAAGTACTCTGTTAGGAACATAAGGAACAATCATAAGTCTTATATAAGACAGCTTGGCCATTTAAGGCTTTATTAAGTGAGAAGTAGGATTTTAAATTCTACTTTGGATTTAACGGGAAGCCAGGATAGGAGAGATATGATCTCTCTTTTTAATTTTCATCAGAACTCTGGCTGCAGCATTTTGGATTAGCTGAAGACTTTTAACTACAATTTGTTGACTTCCCGATAGCAAAGAATTACAATAGGCCAGCCTTGAGGTAACAAAGCATGGACTAGTTTCTCAGCATCTCCCCTGGACAGGATATTCTAAGTTTTGCAATATCCCTCAGATGAAAGAAGGAAATTCTAGAAACCTCTTTGATATGGGATTTAAATGGCAGGTCCTGATCAAAAACCACAACAAGATTTTTTGCTTTATTATCTGAAATCAGTTTAATGCCATCCAAATGCAGTGACTGACTAATCAGCTTCTTTTTCAAAGACTCTTGTCCAAAGACTATAACTTCTGTTTTTTCTACATTCAGAAGGAGAAAGTTATGAGCCATCCAGTTTTTTATGTCTTCCAGACATGCCTGTAATCTA